TGAAGTTTGTCTCTATTACTTTAACAGCGGACGAGACCAGATGTTATATTTTAATACTTACGTGACAGTGTTATTATAGATATATTATTTTTAATTGCTAATTTATAAAGTAACTCAAGAACGTATTTGCATCGTCAGAACGATCAACAAGTCCGTCGTATGGGCTTTAGTTTAGCCGCATATGCAGTTTTTTCTAGGTAAGGTTAATTGTAATGTCAGTAAAATTGCTTGATAATCAGTAAGCGTGGAAATAGTTACCAATGATGTTTATTTGATTTAATCACAAAATGGTCTAAACACGGTGACGATGACGATGACGACGACACCGCTTTGATGTGTAGGGTGGTAACGTGTTGGTAATAGTCCATGAATAAAGCAGATATTTAGGTAGTTATGTGCGTGATTATCATTTTTCTCAGGGGTAATATTAATATTTATATCACCCGCTAGGACTATATTTTTATACGTAAACTGTAAAATGTAAACTGGTACATTTTTACTCTTAATAATTTAATAAAATACAATTTTTATTACATTCAATACAATCCTGAAACACTCGCTTCCGTATTACTGTAGCTTACTACGACTATGCCCAATCACAATCATTTACGACTCTAGTCTCTTCCTTAGAATACAATAAATCCTGTGGAAAGCAGACAGAGACACAGACATCGAAATGTCTCTACAAGTGATCTCATTTTGCTAATTTTGGTATGGCAATATCAATGATGTTTCTAAATTTTGCTCAACGAGCGAGGCCGCGGATAAAAAGCTAGTCTTAAATATATTGCCAATTTCACTTCTTAATCATATGTGAGAGCGTGATACTTCCCCGGTCGAGCCGACCCATTCGTGCTACAAACATAATATAGCGGCAGACTGGCTCTCCAACATATAAAAGAATACTTATTCAAAGTATTTAAGCTTTACCGCTTATTCGAAAAAAATCCTCTGTCCTGGCAAAAACCAGCAAGAAACACATCGGGGATGTAAAAATAATTTTCACTATAATATTTTACACAATTATGTACGAAATCATTTAGAAACAGAAACATATCAATTATGTAAAATTATTATGTGCATATTGCATAAAGTTGTGTTTACCATGTTTTTTAAATATTTACTAGCGTAAAATAGCAGCTAAAACGTCTACCCTTTTTACCAAAAACGGGGCAGTCCATCTTAGTCCTCAGGAGTGACAAACACATCATCATTTTGATTCATATTTGAGGATAAATGAAGGGCCACGGTATCGAATTATTATCTGCTTGGACTGTATACGCGTTAGAAGCCCTTATTCCATAAGAACCCAACATACAGGATTATCCTAGTTTCGGATCCAACGACAAAATATTTGTATCTTTTCTTAAATATTCTTTAGCTCACTGTTCTTGCATACTTTTGTTAAATATATATGTCAATAAAACTTATTCATTATTATTATTTATTTATTTAATTAATTAATGAACATCATAAAAAATTATAAAATGGACGGCTTTATACATATTAACTAATTCTCGCTACAAATTTAGAAAGTAATAAATTGCTTTGTGTAAGAAAATCAGTGCTTTTACGTCGGCTGAAGGAACAGTTGTTGGCAGTAGACGCGCTCCCGCTAAGCGACTGCGGTAATGCACGTTTTATACCATTTCCTCTCGTCATTGTTTAAGACCGATGCTTTAAAGATCCGTGCCCTCGGGCGTTTTCCGTTGAGTGGTTTCGCATTAACTCCTCGATACCTCCTCGGCCGCTAGATTTGTGTTTAATGTCGCGGTGTGCTGCTTTGACCCCCGGGTTCGCTTGGGCTTTGAAATACTTTAAAAGTTGAAAGGAAACTTTCTTCTTATTTACGACACATAAAAAAAGCTTTATGAGTTGTTAATAATAAACAAGGATTGAAAATAAACATTGTGAAACAAAACCAAGGAATATCCGTTTTTTGTAGGTTCTTTTTTGCAATCGATATGTAATTATTATTGATAGCATATAGTCCAACATTTACTATTGATAGCATATAGTAAAACATTTAATATTGATATCATATAGTCCAACATTTACTATTGATAGCATATAGTCCAACATTTACTATTGATAGCATATAGTCCAACATTTACTATTGATAGCATATAGTCCAACATTTACTATTGATAGCATATAGTCACATTTAACATTTTAATTGAATAAGTAAATATTTAATCTCAATAAATTTTCTTTTTAGGAAAGTTGTTAATTAACTCCTGTTAGATCTGTACTTGGAAAACAACGTTGAAGAGCTTTTCCACTATCATTTATGTTGCTTCGATTTTTAATTTTTATACAGTCATTTTATTGACAGAATTAAAGTTAATAACCCCTTGTTATATTAAATTTAGCCTGCCATATCGAACCGTAGATTGTTTAAGACCATTTTGTCAATGACAGTGATGCAGAAGCTGCTAGATCACTGTGGCGGCGCTGTCGTCGCGCCACAAGCGAAATACACCGAAGCCTAAATCACGCTATCAACATTCCGAATTATAAACAGTATATATAGAACATCTCCGAACTATCACATGGAGTGTTGGCCGCTCCCCGGGCAGAACACCTTGCCCGGCGGGAGATCTCCCCTTTTCCTACCACGAACACAGTGGTGACCATCCGACGTGATCTAAACACGCAACCAAACAACCTTCGGAAACTTCAAGCTTCATCATCGTCATAGAATACCCCAGCCATTCGCTCCCGAGCAGATATCGTCTGCAGTCTTCATATTCTGCAAGCCATCAAGCTTCACAAGGTTCATCGCAGCACTGGAATAATAATGCTTCCTGTTCCTTCAAGCTACTCTCTGCGCTATACAGTGTTCGGCACGGCTCTGAGCCTTACTGCTCGCCTCTGCTTCACGGCACTCTCGCAGATTACTTGCCTTCTTCTCGACTCACCGCAGACTACAAGGCAATCTCCTGGCACTTGCACATTCGTCGACAACTCGACTGCACTATCGACCTCCGGTCTGAGCAGGGGGGTGATGTGGCGGCGCTGTCGTCGCGCCACAAGCGAAATACACCGAAGCCTAAATCACTCTAATAACATTCCGAATTAAAAACAGTATATATAGAACATCTCCGAACTATCACACGGAGTGTTGGCCGCTCCCCGGGCAGAACACCTTGCCCGGCGGGAGATCTCCCCTTTTCCTACCACGGCCACAATCACCAAGCTTATATTCCTAAAGATGTAAAAAATAATTAAATAGGTTTTTTTTAAAATGAAAATTATAAATGATGAATTAACAAACGAATTAACAATCCATCTGATGGTACGTGACTTCTGTCTGCTATTTACTTCAGACAAAGAAAACTACACATGCGTTATCACTTCTGAGGACAAAGACGGAACACCTACAGTTTGTGATTATACTGGCTGTCTTTACTCTTTACACCGGCACATAACTGCGACATCATTGCTGTTTGGCTGCAAAAATAGATATGAGGATAGAACCCACTTAGATGGAACCCTTGCCAAAAAACCTGTGTCCTACCTCCTATTAGCTCCAAATAGATTGAACATTTATTTCCCGTCTTCAATCTAATAGGTTTCCACAATGTAAAGACTGGTTATATTAATGAAAGCTTATTCGACTATGACAACTTCAATATTCTATGACTTTAAAGTTTTGCCGGACAGACTTTAGTCAAACCAGCTTGGTAGGCCTTTATGTGTAGCTACATATAAATTTACGTAAATCAGCTTTTTCGATTTCGTTTATAATCGAATAATCAAAATAAACGACAACTTATTCACATAATTTTCTAAGTAACTAACTCATTGATACTGTCGTAGTTGTTCGATATTATATAGTGATTATTTCCAAATTAATACAGTCTAAACTTCATTTTGAGTCTGTTGCTATCTTCAACATCTATTATAATACCCAGAACCGTATCTGCTTAGCTCGTGATTGACTGGTAGAGAATACATATAGGCATTAGTCTGCCAATTGTACACTTTATATGCAACAAAGATTTAAAATTGACGAATAAATAATGTTTTTAATGTATGAAATGATATCAATAAAAAAATTATGATTTAAAACACGGACAGACAATGTTCGAAATTCCGTGTCGTTTTTACACATTACGACACAGAGTGAGATGGAAAGCGCTGTGCGGCGCGGCGCGACGCTAATGGTGCACCATTACCCACTCGATACTCATGTTATCCGCTTATCGGCATTGTTCGGGCAGCCGCGTTTTCTATTTTATTTGTTGCCACTGAAACGGTTATACCCATTACGTATTTAATACGGCAAAAAGGCTCAGCTCTTGTCGCTTAACGATATATTCAAATTGCCCCCTTACATCTGTACTAGTATTATTTGTAGTTATTAAACGTAAATTTCATGTATAAGTCCTTATGTTAAATTAATATTATTCCTATTGCTAGTTGAGTACGAGTAAGTGAAGCTTTTGCAAGCATTATGACAAATAAAATATTGTCATCTATACATACTGATGATTTCTTATATATACGCGAACACTACACATTGAAATAATACTAGTTTTTACGGAATTTATCGCGTATATTTAACGTTACATACTGATTCTATATCAATGTATTAATGACCACTCCGTGGCGCAGAGCTGTAGCAATGAGTTATGACTTCCAAGTAATTCCGAGTCTGAATGTGTCCTTGTGCAATTTAAGTAAGTATGTAAACTGCCTCCACGCCTCATACAGGAGGAAATTCTAGTATGAAGATAACGAATTTAGAAAATAAAAAGTTAAAAAATTCATGAAAATCTTAATCGTATTTCACCATAGTCCAAGCTCAACTCTCTACTTCTCTCTACGTCCTCTTCTGATAAGAGGCTGCCAACGGAGCTAGTACGGGTGGGACTACGTATAGGTCCAAAAGGTCTCCTTTGATCCTGCTGGTGTGCGGTGAATGTAGAAAAAACCATGAAATTTTGGTCGGTATGGGTCTTTGTTTAGGTTAAAGGTTAGGTTTGTGTTTTTGTATGCTTTGCTACTTCTCTCTAACATGGGAGTCAGAGATGTTGTCAGCTCGATACGTGTACCGCTCGCCTGCGAGTGTAGAGAGTGCGAGCGAGAAATTGCTAACGGCGCCTGCGAGTGTAGAGAGTGTGAGCGAGAAATTGCAAACGACGCCTGCGCAAGCACCCGAGCGCGTGAATGAGACAAAAATCGATCATGAGATGGTACGTGCGGGCTCTGAGGAAGAGCAACAGGGCCGAGTTGCGATGACTAGATCGCCTGAGCATCAGTGTAGCCCGGTGTATTGCGATAGTAATATTATGAATCAGGGTGAAACTGATATTAAAAATGGAAAAATTGCGTCTTTTTCGGATGTAGTAAGGTAAGATGGCGAATGGAAAGAGCCTGAAAAAACGAGGGGTGGGTTTTGTACCAAAAACGTAGGCTTAGAAACCGCTTTACTAGTCAAAGAGGCTGTGCCATTGAGTCAACTAGTCAAAAGTTTAGGGCAGCGGATATATAGGTGCCTCTGTTTATCTCGAATGTTGCCAAAGAGGTATCAGGGAAGGATATTATTGATTACGAGTATGTGTATAACAAAACGCATGAAAAGGTTTCACTGGTGAAAATCAATATGAGGCGGCAGAAAGGGTGTGATGCCTATAAGTTCTTGGTATCTAAGCATAAAATTGAGGTATTCCTAGATGATAAACTGTGGCTATCAGGCATAACGTTCCGTCGTTTTGTGAATTTTTGCGATAAACAAAAAGGTAAAATAAATAATAAGGAACAAAATAAACAGGACAGCTGAACATACTGAATATAATACATACGTGCTACATATACTACATACATTTTGAAACAAATAAATAATTTAGATAATAAATTAATATATTGAATATACTAAATACATTTCAATAAAAATACGAAAATAAATAATTAATTAATATAGATAAAAATTAATACATATATGGATAAACTTAGTAAAATTATAAGTTTCAACTGTAAATCGATCAAGAGGTCAGCGGAAGGTGTAAGAGAGTTGTGCCGGTCAGCCGACGTGTTGTGCCTCCAGGAAACGTGGATTCTTCCACATGATTTATTATTTCTCAGCACGATCAGTAAAGAATTTGGGTCCACAGGCACATCTGCGGTGGACACGGAGGGAGGCCTAGTGAGTGGGAGGCCTTATGGTAGAGTTGCAATATTGTGGCGTAAAAATGTGTTTGAATCAGTTGTCAGTGATAGAGTGTGACAACGTGCGAATCAGTGTCATAAAAGTAACTGTGAGTAGGAGATCAGTAGATAGTTATATTTAGTGTATATATGCCCACAAACTCTTATGAAAACTTACCTGAGTTCTGTACGTTCGATCTTGTTTCGATCCGATCGATAATAGAAATAGAGGAAAAAAAGGAAATTGAAACTTTTTATATACTACGGGGACTTTAATGCTCATCCTAGGGAATTATTTTATAATAAAATGCTAGATTTTTGTAATGAAGAGAGCTGGATTTGAATAAAGAGTAGTAAGCGTGTTTGTTAATTATGATGTATTTTGGTCAGACCACTACCCATTTGTGGTGGAATGTAATTTAATAATAAAATAAACTTAAGCCTAAGGTTGTGGAGCAGGTAATGGGGAAATATGTGAACTGAGTTACTTGGGGCAACAGGACTCCACAACAGATAGAACTGTATCACGATTTTTGTCACACAAACTTGAGAATTACAGATCTTCCAGAGGAACTCAGAGACTGTTGTGATACATTTTGTAGTAACAACGAACTTCACGCTGTACTTTATAATATGTGCGGTAATATTATAAATATACTATCACTGGCAGCAATTCGTACATATAGGGATAAATGTAGAAAAAAGGGAGGTTACGTGACGGGGTGGAATAAGCACGTCGCGGGCCTACATCGGGCGCGTCACAGCGCGGCTTAAATTTCAAGAGTGGATGATGGCTGGGTAGCCGTCCAGGAGTCAGGTATTTGAAGAGATGTCAGAATCTAGAAAGCATTTTAAAGCCAAATTAAAATGGTGTCAAAACAGACAAGAACAGCTAAAGATGGGTATTATTGCGACAAATCACTCTTCTAAATACTTTAAAAGCTTCTGGAAGAACCACAAACAAAATGAATGTTAAGCCGAGTCTTCCAGTGAGTGTTGGGGGCGCTTATGATCACAAGGATATTGCGGATGCATTCAGATGCAATTTTACTGTAAGGTCACCCTTAAATGTTGTTTCAGGTTTGAATTTGAGCGAAGCTGAGACTATCATGATAGAACGAAATGAAAAGATACCTGCAAAGAAAATAGAAAAAATAATTAAAGAGATGGTAAGAGGAAAACCGCCTGGTTATGATGGTCTCAGCATCGAACACTTTAAATATGCTAGGGTTCATCTTCCGCGATTCCTTTCACTGTTTTACAGCCAGCCTGTGTTTGGGTCACTTTTACTTACCCGAGCCGCTGATGAGGACTATTGTAGTACCCGTTGTTAAAAATAAAACTGGGGACACATCCGACACGGGTAATTACCGACCTATCTCGCTTGCAACCACTGCAGCCAAGGTGTTTGACAGTGTTTTAAATGAGTGTCTCAACAAATACGTACTAATAAACGATGCACAATTTGGGTTTAAACTGAATGTATCAACGGAGAGCGCCATTTACTGTCTGAAACACGCTGTCAAATACTACACCGTAAGGCGGACGCCGGTGTACGCGTGTTTCCTCGACTTATCGAAAGCTTTTGACCTGGTCTCATACGACATGCTGTGGGGCAAGTTGAGGGACGCGGGTGTGCCGGCGGAGTACACGGCTCTACTAAGATACTGGTATGCTAACCGGCGTAAACAGGTGAGGTGGGTTGGAGCTCTGTCGGAAGAATACAGGCTGGAATGCGGTATAAGGCAGGGTGGCTTAAGCTCTCCACTCTTGTTCAGCCTGTATGTAAACCAACTGATTGAACGACTTAGCAGCACACATGTTGGCTGCCACATCGATGACATATGTGTCAACAACATAAGCTATGCTGACGACATGGTGCTGCTCAGTCCTTCCATAGCAGGACTGAGGAAACTGCTTTCTATCTGCGAGATATATGCGGAGGAGCATGGCCTAAAATACAACTCAAAAAAGAGTGAAATATTAGTATTTAAGGCACCGAAACGGAAGCCACGACATGTGCCACCCGTATGTCTCGATGGTGTACCTCTGAAAGTCGTACAGAAGTTTAAATATCTCGGTCATATAGTTACGAGCGACCTAGGAGGTAATGAGGTTATTGAACGAGAGCGCAGAGTGTTTTCGGTAAGGGGCAATATGCTTGCCCGCAGATTCACCCGGTGCACTGCAGACGTGAAAGTAACTTTATTTAAAGCGTTCTTTGTCAGTCTTTCTATACCGGTGGTCTGTGGGTGACTTATACGCGCCGGAACTACAGCGCCCTGCGTGTTCAATAAAACAACGCCTTTAGGATGCTGTTGAGGCTGCCGTGGCACTTTAGTGCCTCTAAAATGTTCGCAGACGCACTCACTAATGACTTTTTCGCCATAATGCGTAGAAAAGCAGCGTCTCTCCTGCAGCGCTTACGTACCAGCAACAACGGCATCCTAAGGGTAATTGCTGCCAGGCCCGACTGCCCCATACTGCACCACTGTATGACGGTGGCTATTGGGCGAAAAAAATAATTTGTACATAATTAACATTAACCAACAATACTAACTTAGAAGTTAAGGAAAATTATTACTAACATGCTAACAATCTATGGATGTTCCTTACGTCTGAAATAAACACTTATTATTATTATAGTGGCGCCACAATTATTTAACGGTTTTCTATAGACAACTTTTAATACACAGTCTGTACTCCTTACTTTTACACTACATACTCCATACTAAGAATGCTTCTGTCAGCCTCTGTGGTTACAGTAATCTAGTATTGATATAGTAATCTATGGTTACAGGTAACAACTGTCAGTGTTAAAGTAAACAATAAAAAAGAAGAAATATTCAATTAATCTAATCTAACTACCTGTAATGTGGAAAAATTAAAATAATTTGAGTAACAGTCATCTAACTAGTGCAACCTATTAAGAAATAATGTCATTGAAATATATGGCAAAGAATTCTAAATTAGTACTTGATAACCAAAAGCTACAAAAATATATGAATTGAGCTGATGGAGTACACGAGTAAAAGCGAAACTTCAAGAAAAACACGCCACCTTCATTTTTTAGTCGTCTTCCTACCCCTTGCAGTAGTAACACAGGGCTTAGGAGCAGAAGATGCCGCTGCCGCTGTCGTCGCAGTCAAAGATGAGGTAGTAGGAACAACACACGCTGCATCAGGAATGGCGATCACCTCAGCCACGGTGTACACCCAGGTGCTTCGTGCCATCGGACCCAAGTACCACGACATATCCATTTCGTGACCAACACTGGGATACACCAAAGCGCTTCTGAGCAGCAACGAACGCCTCATGACGGCCCTTAGTCATGAACTCGGATAGAGTAACTCCGCTACCCTTTAACTTGGTTTTATAAAACCAGACTTTGTCACGGAGATCCTGATCTCGAAGCTTCACAAGCAGCGCACGAGGCTTGTCACCAAGGGGTTGCCCTTAGCGATGGCATCTAGTGATAGAGTACGTAGATAGATAGACGCAACCCTCTTCGACCCACTCCCAATCTTTACAACGTTGTTAACGAGAGACTTGTGGACAATAAATCCAACACCTCCTTGGGACAGATGGTCGCCCTCCCGGTGATAGAACTAGTTGCCGGATTCGAGAATCACCGTGTCCTCCCCCTCTCTTCGATCCTCGGATAATTCTATAATATTCCATCGCAACTTGTCTATCTCTTCTTGCAGCTGACTTAACAGTAGTAAAGCCACGCGGCAGCTTTGCTGTTGTACGTATGGGCCGGCTTAAACCGGGGTGGTACCACGACCTCACAGAATACCGGCGTAAAGTTGAAGCTCTGCTTCCGTGTTTCGTCTGGTGAGTGTAGGTGGTCGGAGTCCCAATTCCCCCCTCCCTCTTTAACATAGTAGCGGAATTAAGTAAAGATCTACCCCAGGAGGGTACCAGCACCCCTGGAGAATACCTCGCTGAGCATCCACGACTAAGTTACTCCACACTTGAGCGTGAGTGCTCAGGCTGCCCCGCGTATTAGAGGGGGGGGGGCAAAATTCCGCTCAAGACAACAACTGCTCGGGGCAAGCTGAGCAACAAGACCAAGGCGACCCCTGCCACGCTATCCGTGAATTTCTGCAATATCAGGGGACTTCATTCTAACCTAAACGCCGTCCACTATCATCTCGAGACGGCGGGGCCGTCTAGCTCTTTCTGACTGAGACGCAGGTGTCCTCTC